ATCAGTCTTGAATTTCAAATATTTTCGCCAACACATAGTCATTTCGGCTTAAATTCCTTTTGTGTATGGACAAACAGACAAAAACAATGACATCAAAATCAAAACATTTATTTTCTGGTACCAAAATATATACATAAATCGCTTTAAAATTGACATATATGGTGAGCAAATGATCAACCAGAACCTAAAACATAACCAATATTTGGTATATACAAACATTTTATGCACTTAAGTCTAACAACAATGAAATTGTTGTTTTTCATTTAAACCCTATCATACCCTACATAGAACAAATTGATAGAAAAACAAAAAATATGACATTTTTCGAGAAAATGAAAGTAAATAATTTCCTTAAAAGAGAAACACGAAGAAGTAAATGCGAATTGGCAGAGGATTTATGCTGAACCGACGTTATATGGTTAGTTTGACAATTTCTATATTTATCAGACCCATTACAGCTAGAACAGTATCAATTTCATCAAGCATTCATGTTATGCCAAAAATTCATCAACAAAATTGAAATAATACAGGATATTTTTGGTAAGATAATTGATATATGAGGGGTTAAGAGCGAAAATGTAATACAGAAAAGTTGATGAATGAGCGGAAAACTCTATAGTAAACTATAGTGAACTATATAGCTATCTCTTTTCATTTGACATTTTTCCTCTCAACTTTTCTGTATGACATTTTCGCTCCAAACTCCTCATATTTAGATAACACACGCGAAGATTACTTTAAACAAACGTGTGTATAACAGCTTTTATTTGAAATTGATTCGAGAGAATATGTTGTCATACTTACTTTTCTAGCTATAGTGGGCGGTCGCAAGATGCGAGTCGCAGCCCCGAAAAATAGAAAAATCCCAGTCTCAACCGTACTGCGATAAAAGCCTATATAAAGAATGTTATTATATTTGACAATATTTGACTCGATGTCAATGACGATGTGGCAGCGCCACCTATAGAGATTCCTTATTAAAATAAGTGGAACTATTGAGCGCGTGCACCATATCGCACGTAAATTTTCAATATGGCAGCGCCCATAGAATTGAAAAGTTAACCAATTTCGTAGTCACAAATTATCGCTGTACGGTCTCAACTGGCTTAGTTTCTATGATCGGCATAAATCCTCAACTATCTCGCATAGATTAACCCGAAGTATATAAAAATTGATTAGACGAGGAATTAATCTTACGAACTAAGCTAAGGCTGAACAGTGAACAGGAACACGTGGCTCAGCAAAGCATTTTGGAGAGAACTGTAACACCCTTTCCATTAAAAATAATAATAATAAGTACACGTCAACAATTACAAGCACAACCAACGGTGCGGGTACTTCTAAAAGAGCACTGACCTGCCACATACAGTGGGATAAATGCATATGCACAATTGCACATACGTCATGTCAAGTCCGTTAAGTATTCTGTTCTAATTTGTCATTCTTGGTCATTCTCGGCTACTCTCCATTTTTTTTTAAATTAAAAAAATGATTGGATCATTCAGAATTCGCTTATAATTTTTTTTTGATATAATTAAAAATAAACAAATAATTATTAGCCCGGAATATTACAAAATCAACATATTATAACACACAGTTATAACACCAATACAATGTCAAGTTCAATCGATGTATACCGATGTATGTGCATTTGTTCAAAGAAGAAGAAAAAAGGTAAATAAATATTTTTTTGTTTGTATATTTTATTGTGAATTGAAACTAAAATTCACTCAACCTAAAAAAAACTCGGTTCTATTTAATTCGAAAGTTTCCGCCGTTTTTTTTGTCTAAAAATACATTTATTGCAAAATAAATTGAAAATGTACATTAACCAATGTATTCGCCATCGTTAGCTATGACTTCTAGCCATCTTTCTGGCAGCTTGTGGATTCCTCGTGTGAAGAAGTCTTCATCTTTTGAAGCTATCCAGTCAACTATCCATTTTCGTACTTCTTCTTCATTTTGAAAGCGTACTTCGGACAGGGCCATTTGCATCGAACGGAACAAGTAGTAGTCAGAAGGAGCAAGGTCTGGAGAGTACGCGGGCTGATCAAGCCGATCCCAATCGAGCTGCTCTATCTTTTGTTTGACGATTTTTGCACGATGTGGCCTCGCATTGTCATCGTGGAACAAAACTTTGTGGTGTTTTCGGGCTATTAATGGCCGTTTTTCGTTCAATGCACGTGCCAAACTGGCCAATTGGCGTCGATAGCGTTCCTTATCGATCGTTTGATCTGGATTTAGCAGCTCATAATATACGACTCTTTTCATATCCCACCAGATGCATAGCATGATCTTATGGCAATGAATATCTCGTTTTGGTTGTGATGGTGCCGGTTGGCTTGGATCAACATACGCTGCCTTACGTTTGGGGTTCTCATAATAAACCCATTTTTCATCGCCGGTAACAATCCGATACAAAAAACTGTTTCTTTTGTGCTCTGCAAGATGTTTTGTGCATATTGCGATTCGTGCTTGAAGTTGCTCTTCAGACAGTTGATGTGGAACCCATTTTCCCAGCTTCCGAATCTTTCCCATGGCGTGCAAATGTCTGAAAATGGTTGTTTGGCCGACGTTTAACTGCAATGCAAGTTCTTTTTGCGTTTGGGTTGGGTCTTCATCCAATAATGCTTGCAAATCGACATCTTCAATCGCTTCTGGCCGACCTGAACGTTCTTTGTCTTTCAAGTCAAAATCACCACTTTTGAATCGATGAAACCATTCTCTGCAGCTTCGTTCCGATGGAGCTTGCTCGCCATAAGTATCTGACAGCATTCGATGAGCTTCAGCGGCAGTTTTCTTCGAATCAAATAAGAAAAGAAGGGCCCCTCGAAAAAACACCTTATCACGATCCATTTTCAATCGATTCAAAAACAATGACGCAGAACGAAAAATGAATCTTTCTGCTCTGAGTTAGATTGCTAAATGTCACATCTACAAAATGCAATTGGATTCACTTGTCAAGCTACGCTCAGTTACAAGTGGCGACATTTAAATGTCAGCGGCGGAAACTTTCGAATTGACCCAATATACATTCAAAACAAAAATGTTGAAAAATGTTCATTCAAAATAATTAATTTGAATCACTGCAATTCGAATCAAAGATGACGAACAAATGTCATGAAAAACAAAGAAAAAAAACTCCTTTAACTCGTCAACTTGTTCCAGTCGTAGTGAAATTTTTTTTTAGCTATATTGTTATTATTAATAATAATTTTAATATTATTAAATAATTATATAATTAAATTAAAAAATTTTATGAACAAATGCGTGTACATCGATTGAACTTGACATTGTATTTGTGTTGATACATTGATTTTGTAAAATTCTGGGCTAATAATTATTTGTTTGTTTTTATTTTCATCAAAATAAAAATATAACCGAAATATAAATGATACAAGCATCCTCAAAATTGAAAAAAAAATTGGAGAGTAGCTGGAAATAACAAATTAGAACAGTATACATAATGGACTTATATATACCAGATTTTGAATTTGACATGAAATTCGACATGACATGTGTGTAATGCATTTTTCCAACTGTAGGTGGCGCGTCAACGCCGCCACGTGGGATTAAATGGGAACTGCTAAAATTAGCCGTCCTGTTGAGCATAACGAGCCGAAAACTTTAAAAAATCGAGGAGGTAAATTCTAATTTTTGTAAAGAAAATTGCGAGGTCAATTCATTTCAAAATCAATCTCCCTAAGTATGAAAGACCGCAGGTATGAACCGCAACAATAAATATTGTTATAACAATATATTCAATGTAAACATAACACGAGCTCTACTGACACAACTCTTGTGGTGATAGTTGAAAAGTAGAGTGAAACTGGATACTGGAGATTTTGCATTGACGTTTCCGACTGTAAACATGACAACAATTCATATGCGTGTGCTGTCAAAGTCACTTTGTCACAGTGATCCCGTTCTGATCCGAGCGCTCTGAGTGAGTCTCGTATTTACTCCTTTGTATTGAGCAGCAGTATCGTATGAGTACATTCTCACTCAATGCCGCAAAGTCATATGGTTGAGTGAGTGAGTTTCCACTCACTCAGAGCGCTCTTATACACAACGCTCAATGTAACACAGTATACTCCTATATACCAATTGCGATGTACACAAGTGAGTTGCTTTGTGTAAAACATTGAATGAATGATTGAGTGGTTGTGAATGACTGGTTGAGTTGGTTGTGAGTGAGTAGCTGCTCGCACACAGCTACTACGATGTGAGCGAGGGTTCGCTCTTGAACATTCATGTATGTGCACAACAGCACACGAGCAATGCATTGCTCATTTAAAAGAGTGATGAAATGCTCTGAGTGAGCATTTTTCGATCACTGCTTTGTCATGCGTCATTCACATTAATGCTTTGACTGAATGTGTTGAACAGTGGTGAGATTGGAAACGCCATACATTTTATATATATTATTTGCTTGGGAATCATATTCATTTATTTTCTTTTATTGTTGATATTCTGGCTCTGCAAAGCCTAGGCTTCATCCACGATTTGTTTTTCAAAGAAATATTTCGAAAAATCGAGAGTTTGCACTGTCAACACTTGTGTGGTTTTTCATATGATTTTGAAGTCATCGAATATTGCCACCCGTTCACACATTCAATGAACTTGCTACACCAAGTGATAGTTTAGTTCATTGCTGACGTTTTCCAATCCGCCATACGTTTTTATATGTGTGTGTACCTCAAAATGTCAAAATTGTCAAGAATGCAACCGTTCTCCTCGTTCTTTCAAACTCGTGTGTATGCACATTGCACAACCAACAATCAAGTAGCAATGCTATCGTGTCTGTACTATATATATGAATGTCCGAGAATGAAAACGCAACTTCTATTCACAACACATATAAGTGAAACAAAAATAAAAAAAATTTATTGAAATGAAACAACAAAATCGAATTTTTTCAAAGTGTAACAACAAAAAAGATTTTTTTAAAGTGTAACATCGGTATGTTGTTACACTTACTACATGTAAGTAGTACTATATGTAGTAAGTGTAACAACATACCGATGTTACACTTTAAAAAAATCTTTTTTGTTGTTACACTTTGAAAAAATTCGATTTTGTTGTTTCATTTCAATAAATTTTTTTATTTTTGTTTCACTTATATGTGTTGTGAATAGAAGTTGCGTTTTCATTCTCGGACATTCATATATATATTGACCGCTCAACGTGTGTTATGTGTATGACCTCTGGAGGCAGGTCGAATATTGTCGTCAGTATGGATTTCATAGGCCCGAAAAAAACATATTTATTGAGTTGATTTGAATTCATATAGGACTATTCCTGATTGTAATTTGTTATTATAAAATTCGGTTGATATCCATCTGGTTTGGTAAATATAGTTGAGTGCATATATTTTTTCTTCATCTTATTAGTCTAATTTTAGAAGGAAAGTAAACGAAAATTTTCTAAAATCTGAGGGGAGTAATTTTCTAAGCGCTCTCAAGGATTGGGTAATACGGACGCTCCGGACCCTCATCAGAACCTATGACGGTAAAAATTTGCTATGTTAGAATGTATAGAAAAGATAGTATTGAAAAAAAATTGAAAGTGTAGAACTGAAATGAATCGTGTAGAAAAGTTCACCTTACGTATGTGAGGCATTTTATTTTTTCCATAAGATTCCCCGTCAAAAATTCTACTAAGATGAGTTGTTTTCTATATGCATTTCCACATTTTCATAGGATCTAGCAGTGTGTTTCTGCCATTCTGTTCACGGGTATGAAACGACAACAACAATAACAAGTTTTTTCATGTAAACATAAGACATGATCTTCTGACAAGACGCTTGTGGTGATAGTTGAAAATTTCAATCACAAGAGTGTATGTACGGACCGTACAGTACGGTCAATTATCAAAAAACCATTCGCGCAGACCGTATAAGTCCTATGCTAGCGTGTCTGTATTGTGTGTATATACAGGGTGACGCAATTGAAGTGATACTAAAACAAAACTCTATAATTTTTATATTTGTTGACTTACATTATTGCTCTAAAGGCAAGAAATGTTGGAAAATTTTGAAAATTGCGGAATCAGCTTCCAGATTTCAATTTCATTTCCACTAGATCGAGTTATGATTCCAGGTCCACGATTTTACGACGAAATGTTTAACCCTAGTCTACAGTCCTTTTCTAAAACCTTATTCTACAGTCCTCGGATCTGGCCAGACCCCATACATTTATACGCATTTGTATGGGAATAAGTGATGCATGCCATCTCATTTTTATCGATAAAAATTAGTTTAAATGCATCTCATATTCCCATACAAATGCATGTAAATGTATAGGGGTCTGGCCAGACCCGAGGACTGTGAAATAAGGTGTATTTTTGGGATATCCTTATTTCGTCCTTTTTTTGAAGGAAAATGATAGTTTTTTATTGCATAGATCGATAGCCAATAAAATTTTAGGATGCTACCGAGAAGCACAAGTTGCTAGCTAAACTAGAAATATGTTGAATTAAGGTTTAAAAACGAAATATGTCTGGCCGAACCCGGGACTGTAGATTAGGGTTAAATTCGCTCTCATTGTGGCTATGCTTCCCACATTGGTATACCCCTGTTTTGGTATTTTTATGGGATAATAGTGCCTTGTAATATATTGCAGGAATGGAAATCTTTGGAACCCCTCTTCTCTAAATTGGACAATGGACAGCAAAGTATGGGCCAAAATGAGCTCCAAAAAGTCGTTTTTCACATTTCACCGAAGCATGGCTTTCTTCCTATATGGGTTAAATTTGGGTACAATGCCTGCTAGCAATGAACGAGTGCGCCGCGGTAGTCACAACTGTAAACAGTATACACGGTGATCGATATAGGAGTTCGTGTGTTATTTTTAGTTCAACTTCTTACTATATACGGTGGTGTCAAGTGTCCGGCTAACCGGCATTGTTTAGGTATTTTGTTGGAAACTTTTGCAACAACTCTGGCCCGATTTATATTTTTGGAGATCCAATCTTTATCCCGACACCAATTATGACGCATTCGGCGTCAATGGTGAGAAAAAGCGATAATTCGGAATTATCACAGTTCCAACCTTCGAAAGAGGTTAACCATGGGTGAATATAGTCAAATAATGACTAAAGTTCTTTTATAATATTCTATAATTTAGAATCTAACCACTTTCTAGGTTTGTATTTACGCTAATTCAGTTAGTTTTTTTTTACAAAATTCCACATTTTTTCCAAACTACCACGTTCGTGCAAACACATCTAAAAAAATGGTTGACTTGAGGGCATGATTCGATCCAGTGAAACTAAAATTGAAATTTGGCACAGGATTCTGAAAGTCTGGTCTTAAAATTTGTCGCCTTTAGAGCAACATTGTAACTTACAATTTGTAAGTAAATAAATGAAAAAATACAGAGTTAGATTACAGTATCACTTCAATTGCGCCACCCTGCATTGATCGCTCAACGTGTGTTGTGTGTATGACCAATAGAGGCAGGTCGAATGTTGTCGTTATTTTGATTCTGTCGATTTTTGATCTTTGATGGCCGCGAACGGTGGAATGGTTTCAAATGAACATATTTCAAAGTGTTCATTTTTATTTGAGAACGAAACCAACTTCATTGTTGACAATTCGAGACGTGACCAATGCATATATGAATGGTTTGTAGCGAAAATGTAATGCAGAAAAAATGTCGATGATGAATGAGCGGAAAAGGGATAGCCATATAGTACACTGTATAGTAAACTATAGTGAACTATATAGCTATCCCGTTTCATTTGACATTTTTCCGCTCAACTTTTCTGTATTACATTTTCGTTCCAAACCATTCATATGCATTTCAAAATGAACACACTGTATTTTCCATGAAATTCAATTTTTAGATTGTATTCAATAATAATTTCTTTAATCGCATGTAGATACATAAAATTTCGAAGATATGCCATTTGACAAAATCTGTAATTATGAAGAAAGTATTGAACGATACTTTTGACAGTTAGACTGACAGAAATACCGATTCGCTTTAATAACAACGGACAATTGAAAGTTATCATTTGTAATGAATCACATCTGGAGAAAGTTCGAACCATTTTATAGTTGTAAATTTCTAAAAATAATCAGTAAAAATAGTCACACATATTCACCACTAAATAGAAATGTCAAGTTAACAGTATCAACAACAGCGAACTCAAATGAACTGTAAAAAAACTGAAATATTTGCCAAAACTATGGAAATCTGATCATATCTTATTAAATGTGCTAAGAAACATTTAAACTGAGTTTCCTGCGAACAACATTTCTTTTACGCTAACAGCAATTCGTACACGAACGAGTCAGTGTGACAGTTGGTGTGAGCGAGACAAAGTTTGACAGCTATCAATTTTAAATCTGACAATGTCATCAAATAACAGCATCCTGATTAATATTTTACTGTGTATGTCTGTTTCTTTCCAAAAAGCGTTACATATATCTATGGGTGCGATTGAGAATAGAGTATGTTTTTCTTTGTTTTATTTTTTTGAAAGGTCGTATTCTAATAGTTCTGTTGGCGTTAAAGTAGAGTATGGGTTGTCGTAGTTTTTTACGGTTTCTGCGGAACTGATGAGAGGTAACGGTTAGGATTCTTCGGCAAAATTATAGTACTTGAGGTCCTCTATAACTCTGCTGAAAACAGTCATCTGTTATCTATCAGTTCAGCAAAAACTGTGGAAAACCGCAAAGACCCACCAAAAATGAACATGCTCGCCTTTAACGTCGAAAGAAACTTACTCTTCTATGACAAAGTCAGTGAAACACTATTCTCAATCTCACTTATAGATGTATTACATAAACAGGGACAATTTGGTTACTACCAAATACAGTTAATATACTTTAGAAGAATACGTTTGCACATGAAAGGGGCTGTTATGAGTGAATTTGATAGCAGAGTAAGTGTTTGTTTTGCAGAGAAATGTCTGAAACATGTATGTGTAAGATCAACTTCATTCTGTATTTTGGAGATCATTTTTGCACTGCTTATTTTGATGAAAATTCTACGAATTCAAAAGTCTAGTTAAATTTCAATTGGCTTTTTATCGAGCTTACGAACAGTTTCCTTTAATAATTTCCACTCCTTCACTTGATTTCAACCAATCATACTTTGGAAATCTACGGTTTATTATTAACTTTGATCGAAAATCATTTGGAAAAAAAGTATAGGCATAAAAACAATTTTAAATCTGGTTAGGAAGACAATTATTTGTATTATCTAGTAACGCTCTTTCGAATATAAGACGGGAAGACGAACACTTCATTTACAAAATCCACAATCTCAATAATCAAATTATTATTTACATAATGCCAATAACTCCACAGCCTGCTCGACCTCCAGCATTCCCGGTTTTTTTAGAGTCTGGGTGGTTCGATCTACCAAAATCATCCACTCCACTATGTATAACAACTGCACGTCCAATTATACTTCTAGGTCCCAACAAATTGATGACTTGATCGGAAAATTTTGTTTCAGCATACCCCTGATCATTTGCGCGGATGTTTCCCAGATCTCCAATGTGCCTTACTTGATCGTTAGGTGCTCCATGATCCAACTGAAAAAATAAAATAAATTGTCAGTAAAGCCTACACTAAATGGAACGCCATGGATTTTGACACTTGACAAACAAACTCCCACTAGTAAAAGTTTGACAGTATCAGGTTAAACACGTTTTCAAATTCCCATAAATAAATTCATAAATAGCTGCAGCTTCTACCATCTTCAGCTGGACAAAGAAACAATTGAAATCCGTATCAAATAATAATCTGACAATTGTTTAAATGTATTTTTCGACGCACAGTGCTGTCCAGAATTCTTCTCAGCGTGGCTACAAATATAGATTCTGACGTAGTCTGATCTCGTTGATCTTGACCCCTGCTGACGTTTTTTTACCCCCACCCCCAACGAAATTTGGACCCATCGACATTTTTCGACTTACTCGACGATTTTTTTAGCTCTTCAATTTTGTTCCGAACGCAAAATTGTACACTAGATAGAATTGATTTTTTGACCCATCTAAAGGTGTCAAACGGACGGACAACGGACAAACATTTGCTGTCCGTCCATCCTTTTAAAAATTTAGGACGGACAAAAAATTTTGTTCGTCCGTTTGAAAATACGTTTGCAATATGAACTATGAAATTTGTCATAAAATTTAAATGGCCGCTTTAGTAGCGTTCATATGCCGCTTGAATCGCTACCATCGCCGCAAACAAATCCGTTATGAATCTGACTTTTTTAAATAAACATATAGTAACATCTTCGAATAAAAAAAAGGTGAAATAAAATTGTAAATTCAATTTCTCAACACACAGTTTATAAAAAAATTATTTGCATCAATAAAACTTAGAAAAACAACAATTATTCTACTGCAAATGATTCCCATTTGAAGTTTGAAACTTCGAAACTAACAGCGACATCTAACGAAAATCCGTTACAACACCCATTCGCCATATTGACAACTGACAAGTGTGTAGTGTGTTGTTGTTTCGAATTTCAAGTGGGAATCGTTTGCAGTGAAATAATTGTAGTTTTCCTAAGTTTTATTGGTGGAAATAAAATATTTTTTTATAAACTGTGTGTTGAGAAATTGAATTTACAACTTTTTTCTACATTTTTTTATTATAAAATATTTTTGGATTGTTTTGTATTGAAAAAAGTCAGATTCATAAAGGTTTTGTTTGAAGCGCTGAAAGCACTGAGAACTTGTTTTTTTGGTTTAATATCAACCGACTAAAACGATACCTTGCGGATATGCTAGCCCTTTAATTTTTATGACAAAATTTGCAATGGTCTTTGCAGGACGGACAAAGTTGAAACATCCAATAAGCTATTATAACTTAGTTTTCGACGAGGAATTCATTTGATTGCAAAGGTTATCATGAGGTTAAATGAACAAGTACATTTTCATTGCTCCTTTTCATTGCATTATTAAATTAAATTTAAATATTTTTTGTGTTTTTCTCGATAAGTTTTCTGAAATTTCTTGATTGAAATAGAAAAATTGGATGAAAATTTCTAAGAAAACATTGAAGTTCAGTGAATTTTTTTGAAAAGAAAGTCACAATCAATCGTGAAAAAAACACAAACATACAACTATACATTCACCGCTCTGTTTTGTTGATGCTTTTTTTTTCCTTCTGAGTTGAAATCATGTCTGCCGAAATACATAACTGTGATGCCAGTAAATGCACGGGATCGGATTTTGATGGTGAATATCTGCAATGTTTTTCTTGCCATGAGAAGTGTTACATTCAATGCCTCAGTAAATGTGAAGCCACAAAGAGACTATCCACTAAATTCAACCTGTACGATGATCGCGGACAACCGGTAGCCGAAAATTCTAAGCACATTATACAACGATTGAAAATATACTTCTCCATATCATCAGCGATAAAAGTTACATGCGCAACGTGCAGGAATTATTTTGTTGAGATGAAAAAACAGAATGGCACCTTGAAAACGGAGATCAGAAACAAAACAGATGAAATATCACGCCTATCCGCTGAATTGAATAGCCTCAATGGTCAATTGGATAACCTCAAAAGTGCCATTGAACAATTGGAAGCAAAACAAACGACACAAATTGAAGAAAATAAACAGAATGGTGACACTGACACTCAAATTAATGCTGATCGGAAAATGTTGGCAGATGCTATGAAGAAACTTGGTGAAAAGATAACAACATCTATCCAAAGTGAAATTGAAACAATTGTCGAATCAATCCAAACCGGTGAAACGGTTTCACATTCACCCGATGCAGTTGTTTACTCGATCCACTTATCAAAATTTCCATTGAGTACCACACCCGATGATATCGTTGAATTGGTTTTGGAAAAAACTGGTCTTACAAATAATGAATGTTTTCAAGTTCATATTTTGCCCCAAGGAAAACGGAAGAAACAACTGAGACAGCATTTGGCGTTCAAAATCTCTACTCTGAACCAATCGATATATAATCAAATCCTGAATACTGAAATATGGGCACCTGATTATACGGTCAGAACATTTCTGAAAGAGAAAGCCAGACAAAATCGTCAACGTTTTGGTCAGAATAAACATCGGCGTCAACGTCCAAACCAAAATGGTCACAGTCAAAGGCCAAATTCAATGCCATCGAGAAGCAAAACCATCAACAATCATCGATCACAACCAAATCGCAGGAATTGGAACGGAAATTTCCAACGATCACGTCGTGGATACGGCCGATTTGTTGAACGGCGCAATAACATCAGACGTAATGACAATTTTGGCTACTCGAATGGTTATAATAACAATCAATTTTTTCAGAATAATGACCAAAACATGAATTTGAACTACCGAGTCGATGGTAGATACCAATACGGTGTTCCTGATAATTTCCAATATGGCAATTTTGCACAAAACAGTCAAATTGCCAGGCCACATCACCAGTCTTCGTCTTTTTTACCGCAATATTGGACCGATCCGCAGCAGAATTATCATTCCGACCAATATCGACACCCAATTTACGGAGTACCACATTTGAACGGCATGCCTCATCATTTTTGAACAATAATTCATTTCACCGCACACATTTACATAAACGGAAGCAAAAGATACACATGCAAAACATCAATGGAGTGAGATCCAGACTTGCTGAATTTAACGCTGACATAATCGCTTCGGATTCTGCAATATTTATGCTTTGCGAGACTCGCCTTGACAGCACAATTGATTCTTCAGAAGTTTTTCCTCCAAATTTTAATGTGTATCGCTGTGACCGATCGATTGAAACTGAATCAAAACAAAGGAAAATTAAAACAAGGGGTGGAGGTGTACTGATTGCTGTTGATAGGACAATGAAATCTGAACTCGTCAGCACAGGTGAGCAGTATGGCGCTGAACAAGTTTGCGTTATCCTGCCATTGAAAGACAGGAATGTTTTTCTAATTGAATTGTACATACGTCCTGATTCTCCTGTCGCAGTTTATGAGGCGAATATGAATGCAATTCGTGAGGTAGAAGCAAAATTGAAGTCCGAGGATATTTTGGTAATTTCTGGTGATTTTAATTTATCCAACTTGGAATGGTATACAGATGAAAATGAAGATTGTGACGTTGCCATCCCACTGAACGCATCCTTGGAAAAGGAAATCACTGTCTTGGACTCCATGCATGAAATGGGACTTGTTCAAGTAAACAAAGTTGGAAATAAAAACGGTGCGATGTTAGACTTGGTGTGGACAAATTGTACAGAGACCGTGAGCTGCTCAAAAAACACCCATCACCTACTAAAAAAGGAGCCACATCATCGATCATATGCAATTACCATTAGCGATGTTGAATTTAACAATGGCAAGCGTTCATCAATAGTTGATATTGATTTTAGTTATCGTGATTTTGCAAATGCCAACTACAAAAATATAAATGAGATTCTTGATAACGTCGACTGGATGCACGTTTTTTCGGGCGATGACTTGAACTCTCAAATCACAAATTTTTATGAATTGTTGGATTCAGTGATATCATCGAATGTCGACGTGAAGACGAGAAAAATTTCGAGTCACCCGAAATGGTTTAGTCATGACCTCGCTAACATGAAAAATAGACTCAATACAAATTACAAATTCATGAGATCCAGGCATACTGTTGAAGCTAGAAAGCATGCAAAGGAAGAACATTCCGAACTAAGAAAAGAGTACAAAAAGAGCGCACGTTTGGCTTATAAAAATTACAAACTTGAAATGGAACAACTTATTAACGAGGACCCACAGAGATTTTTCGAATTTGTAAATAATTCCAAAAAAAGGCATGATGACATTCCTAATGTAATGATGTTTGGAGACAATGAAAGCGGTAACCGTGGTGAGATAGCTGAATTTTTTGCAACACATTTTGCAAAATCGTATACTGAACCAGATATTAGCTTAGCTGGAGATTATTCTGAAGATGAACCACTACTAAGAGATCTATGTACTAATTTTCCTATGATTGACATCACTGAGGATTTGGTTATGAACGTGATAAATGATCTCCCAAGCAACATGGTGTCAGGACCTGACGGAATACCAAATATTCTCATCAAAAAGTGTATGCCAGCACTACTAAAACCTATCACACACATGCTAAAGCAATCGTTGGAAACTGGTATTGTCCCTCAGATTTGGAGAAAATCATTTGTAAGACCAGTTCACAAAAGTGGTGTAAGGAAAAAAGTTGAGAACTATCGTGGCGTAGCCCTGCAGTGTGTAATACCAAAGTTGCTTGATTCAATAGTTGCTAAACACCTTAATTATCACATGAAACATATCATTGATGAGAGTCAACACGGATTTTTGAAAGGAAAATCTACAACCACAAATTTGGCTGAATTTGTATCGTGTGCAATTTTGGGCATGGAAAACAAAGTACAGACTGATGCAATTTATTTGGATATTGCGAAGGCCTTCGATTCGGTCAATGTCGATTTACTGATCCGCAAAT